CTGTGCCACTAAGGATTCATGCTTGTACATTTACTCAACACTATGTTCTTATGCCACCTCTTGTTCTCACTACATCAGCCTTCACCAATCTAGCATTTCTTGATACATGCTGGACTTCCATCCCACTTCTGTTAATGGCCATTTTGGCTCAGGGATGGTAGAAGTTGTAGTTCAACACATCTTGAGGGTGCAAGGTTGGAGAAGACTGTTCCAAACATGTCCCTTTCCATAACTGATGTCTGCATATTCCTAGTGAAGCTTGGGCAAGAATTCAGTGCTATTCACTCATCCCACTGAAAATTTGCCATCAATTTTAGTGGTGGTGGTGGTGGTAAGCTCCCTGACCAAACTCTGTACATTTTGAGATTGACTGTTCTGCAGATGACCCCTGAGTTATTTCCAAGGGCTTTCAGTATCTGACAGGAGCAGGCCTTTGATTCAACTGGGATGCAAGAACCAGAGTTCCATTTGTTTTATCTATCTGACATTTTCTGTCAGGTTTATAGCTGTTCTTGAACAGTGGGACCCAAATCATTAAATTCTGAAGAAGGTGCATGGCTATAGAACACACAAATCGTTATAATAGTGAAAGAAAGCACATAAATTCCACTTTGATGTTGGATTGGAAGGGGCACTCTATTCCTTCTCTTCAATATAGTTTCTTCCAAAAAGCTTGGCAAAGGTTACTTTTAATTGAATGTGACAAATGTACTTCCTTATGTTCTACAGCTGAAGATCCAAAGCATTTCTCCACTGAAGCAGAACTATTTCACCACTGTCACATTTTTGTGTGTGTGGAGAACCTCATTTTTAAAAGGAAAAAATGTATAGCTGTTGACATTTAGTAGGTGAAATATTGAGCAATAGATCAATATGTGCCCAAACACAGATGGCAAGGAATGTCTCATAATGCACAGGCCCACCATAATTCAAGTCAACAGTTAGTACTTTTGTAGGAGTTACAGAGTTAAGGGCTTGATCAAAGCAAGTAAACCTCTACTCCCCTGTAGAACCACTGCACCCTGAACACACCCATTCTTAATCTGATTTCAGAAGCTAAGCAAAATTAAGCCTGGCTAATTCTTGGATGGGAGTCCATCAGCAGATACCAGAGATTCCCAGTATGCAAAGGGATCTTGTAGCACTTTTGAGACAAACTGAAAGAAAGAAGCTGGTAGCATGAGCTTTCACAGACTTGAGTCTACCTCGTCAGTTGTATGAGGCGAAGTGGAGGGTCCAGGGACAGACCTATATATGCAGGCTGTATGTGAGAATAGCAATAGAAATGCAAAACTTTGTGAGTGTGTAGATGAGCTGACAAGTTCAGTTTTAAGAATGGTTGTTGGGGGACAAAGGTTGAAGGAAGGATGTTTCCTAAAGCCAATGTGAGTAGATGTATCAGTACTGGAATGTAGTGTGAGAACCAGATAGGAGATGTAATGAACTGGCCAAAAGAGCCCTCATGCGGCTAAAGGGAGAGTTAGCTAGTATTGTAATATGTGTAGTGTGCTAGGAAACCATTGTCTCTGTTCAACCCATTCTTGATTGACAAGAGTTTGTGGATATATTCTCATTCTGCTTTTTCTCTTTCCAACCCTCCTTTGTAGTTTTTTGTTCAAGGACACTTCGATCTTTCTGGGCACTCCATCTCAGACCTCAGAACAGCAGTCCTTGAACAACAACAAAACTACAAAGGGAGATTACAAAGAGAAATAGTAGAATTAGACTGTATCCACAAATTCCAGTCTAGTTCCACATGCTTTTACAGAACCCACAAGCAGGAGTTAAGTTGTTAGCCCACCCCTAGCATTTTGTTTTTGGACCTGGAGATCCCAGTTAGCTAGCATGGCTACTAACTATTGATATTATTACTAACTATTGACTATTGATATAACTATTGATATTCACTGGTTTTCTACTCCGTCAAATGCACTTGAGGAAATAGACTTAAGTCTATGAAAGCTCATGCTGCCAACTTCTTTCAGTCAGTCAATCTCAAAGGTGCTACAAGATCTCTCTGCATATTGATTCTACAGACTATCACGGCTACTTCTTTGAATTCTATTGATAGAATTGGTCTTCATGAATCCTCTTTTAAAACCATTTAAAAACATGCGGCAGTTGCCATACCTTATGGCAGTGACTCCAGTTGTAGTACCAACACTTTATCTGGGATAGGGATGTCATCAGATGCCAGTGGAAGTTAAAATTGGGAGTGTTGCAGGTCAGTTAAGCACATGCTTCTTCTGTATGCCACTGAAATTGCTGGCTGGGCATACTTGCATTCATACCAAACTGTATCACTTCCACAACGACCAAGGCTAACTCTTGATGCTTTGCTCCTAAGGTAAAGAACAAGGTGGTGCCCCAGTTCCATTCCATGTACAGAAGCTAAATGCAACAATAGCAATGTACAGAATCCACATTCATATTAGATTAGTTCAAATGGTGAAGGAGAGGCTGTGTGAAGTAGTGATGTACAAACCAAACATATTCCTCCTTGCATGTGTTTCAGGTTGATGTTCTTGTCTGCCAGGGTTGTAATGAGACAGTTTGGGGAGGAGGACAAGGAAGAGACAAAAAGGGGGAAGGCAGAAGAGTTTGGGCACTGTTCTCTGTAAAAGAGGTTTCTCTGAGAAAATGTTTTCAAAAGTGATAAGAAAAATAATCCCCAATTAATGCATTTTAATTGAAAAATATGCTGTAAAGCTTCCAAGAAAAAAAGCAAATCTATTTTTCCAATCTTCCAGAAGTTAACCAAAGAGTTATGCTAGGCATTTATAGGCTCTCCAGCATGATGCTATGGTCAATTTCTTGTGGGTGTTGACCATGAGTTGCACTGCAGGATGTAGAGATTCCTAGGGATGTGTCCTCCCAGGTAAAAAAATAGTTTTTTATTTGCAGTTTTCCCACTTTCACAATGTGTGTGTGTGTGTGAGGGGACAACCTGTAAACCCAGCATATATGGAGGGCCTGCTGTAACTATCACTGTGAAGGGCAGCAAAACCTCCATTGTGAGCTCTTTGGAACAGGGAAAACCTGCTACTAATTGATTCTGTAGCAGATTTTGTGACCATTCTTAGTGTGGAACATGTACTTTTGTCATACAAGAGGCTAGGATAGCAGGGGATTTAAGACAAACAACTGAAAGACTTGCACTCCTGCTTTCCAGTATCTGCACCCTGAGTCGATTGACTCACTCTACTTTATAAGCTAGCCCTGACAATACTTCAGAAATAATTCTGGCCGGAAGTATTAAGTAACACCAAAGGGCCAGTCCCATGATACCAAATTCTCAGAACTGGAGACAATACTTTGTAATGTATAGCCATCCCCTCTTGAAAACACCATCTACCTCTGGGCAAGAGCTTAAACCTTAATAAGCTAGGACAGTGGTGGTGAACCTATGGCACACATGCCAGAGGTGGCACTCAGAGCCCTTTCTGTGGGCACATGCGCCACTGCCCCAGCACCGAGTTTTCCAGAGTTCGTTACTAGAAAGCCAGAGGGACATGGTACTTTGTGATAAATAAGTGGGTTTTGGATTGTAGTTTGGGCATTCGGTCTCTAAAAGGTTTGCCATCACTGAGCTAGGGCATGCCTTTAACTGTTCCCTTTAACTGTTCACACTCAAGTCTAATATAAGGTGAAGTGAAGGGTGGGTTACAAGATTATATCTGCAAGAAGTCTAAATGTGGGTGATGCCCCTCAAATAAAAATCTTGCCCATCAAAGTTTCCTTCAGTCCCCACATTTCTAGCAATACAATAACTTAAACCTTCAGTTGAGTTAAACTTTCTGTTGAGAAATAATTTAGGCATCCAAAGGAAAGAAGCAAGATTGCCAAGGGCATGCAAATGCAGCAAGTATAAAGAGTTCTAGGTGTGAAAATTTTCAGGGATTCATTTTCTGGAATCCTAGAAATTTGGATACTGATGGAAAATTTCTTGGGGGTGGGGAGTAGAATTTCTATTTGGTGGGGCAATGAATGCATTTTGCTCCCCACAGCTACATCATTGGCAGGCCTTACCAATTTTTCAAAAAGATGCTTATTATTATTGTAGAAATTTTAATCCAAATTAAGGGGTAGAGAAGGGCACTCCACACCACTATAATCTTCAGGGTGTGATATCAGTAAATTTGGCTTGTCATTTCAACAAGAGTACTAAGAAGAGGGAGGAAACAGCACTTCAGATATTTTTGGAAGCTCTTGTTTCAGAATCTCTTGCAGTGCCCAGAGGCAGGGTCAACAGGCATACTTTCTCCTTGACTGAACACCAGTCCAAGAGAAATCTTATATCCTTGTGTACGGTTAAATACAAATGGAGACATAATGCTTGCCAATTTCATTTCCTTGGCAATGTCTAGAGAGATTCAGTGGTTTCACACTGATAGTTCAATGGTTATTTATATGGGAAGCTGTTAAATGGCAAAGGTTGAGAGCATTCACAGCAAAAGAGGTCAGTGCTTCATGTGGAGGTCCGGAAAGCACTATTTCTGGAACAAGAGGCTGATGGGCTTTGGCACACTAATGATCCTATCACAGTTTTTGTATACATCGTTCTTCTCATCTGTTTATTAAAAAGCCACTGAGTCACCAAATGGTTATTTTCAGAAAGACAGCTGTGTTTATGTACCTCCATCAGCACTCATTTTAGGATTGGTAAAATGGTCACAGGTTACATCCTTAGTTTCATATAAATACTTCTTATAAATGTTTGTTTAGAAAGAGATCTTGTGTATATCTTCTCTAACACAATAAAAGGAGGCTTATCAAATGGAACATGTGCTGTCCAGTTTCAAAAATGATTATATTGGATGGCTTGGGGGGGGG